ACATTCACTTTATTCACTTTGTTAAGTCGGAAAGTCGAGCACCACTCCGGAGAATTCGAAACTGCAATGGTTGGAACAGCCGCTTCCCTACGCCTTTAAGCAGTTAAATCATGGAGCAAACTTTCTTCTTTGATGTTTGTGATTTTAAAACATCTAAAAACATAGTTTCTAGAACCTTCTAGAACCAAACAATAAGAAAAAAATATTTCCCTCATGAATCATGAAGAAAAAGAGCATCATCCCTCTGCTTGCTGATTGGCTGGACTGGAGCCTAACGCCACCCCCCAACCTGACCGTAACTGACCCTACAGAACTTTGGGATTCCTCCTGAAGTCATAATTGTTCTGGTTCTGTTAGATGATAACAGTGACTGTCCAGAAGCATCTAATCTTTGCTTCCTGTTCCAGCCAGGAGAAGAGAGGACCAGTCCGCATGGAGAAGGACCTTCATGGAGGAGCAGCTCCGTCTCCATGGCGATGACACAGAGGACAGGAGTCCTGGACTGGGCAGGGTGAGTATACACGTAACTCTGCTACAGCTGCAGCACTTCATCCCAGCTTCTTCACAGAACGGAGAGGTTCTAGTTCAGTCGTCATGGTAACGAGCAACATAAGCTGTGATTAGAGAAAGAAAGTATTGATTCTGTCCCAGAGACGTTCCATACTTCTCTGACCTCTAGTCTCGAGGTCAGATCCTTTTTTGCTGCATCATGGGACATCTGAGTGACGGTGGAGCTACGGCTGAAGTGGAAGGAATAGAGGCTCTGAACCTAGAGAGGATGTACGCCATGCGGACCTACCGGGACATGGAGGACCGCAGGGGGTTCATCTGCTCAGAGTGGAAAGAAGAAAGGCTCTCATTGAAAGGAAGTCAGAAAAAGTCCAGTTAACCATCTCAGAGGAATCATCTGGAAGAATAGGCTCTGATCAGAGCAAATGGAACCTTCAGAGAAGGTCTCACTGAGACTTGCAATAAACACTGCTTGGAACCCAACACCCCACACTGTAAAGTATTGTGGTGGCAGTGTTAAGTTGTGGGACAGGGAAGCTGGTGAGAGTTCATAGTGGGATGGATGGAGTTAAAACAGGACAATCCTGGAAGAAAAGCAGCAGAAATTCGGAGACTGGGGAGAATCCACCTTCCAGCAACAGAAGCACCCTGAATATCTACGGACTACCATGGATGGTTGGATCACAGCTGCCTGAGGATGGTCGTCTCCTACTGCATGAAGGTCATCACAGTGAAACAAATAAAAGCTTCTAGATCACTGACTGGTTCTACAAAAGCATCCAACATTCTGCTGTTTGTTTCATGACCTTAAAGGCAGTTACCCCGTCCCTCAAAGATCAGACCAATAACTAGAAGAACAACACTTTTTAATAGACTTTACACAACTCGCTCGACATCTGCGCGTATCGTGGAGCGACAGTGGAGAGGAGAAACTCCTGGTAATGGGAAGACACCTCCAGCAGACCCAGAACCAGGCTCAGTGACAGAGTAGCACTGCTGATCCAGGAGTAATTCCACGTCGAATTATACAGGACAACCTTCTGCTGATTCATAAACATTCAAAAACACAACTTACCCAACGAGTTTATCGTAAACTCCCAAATCAGATAACCCCAGACATTAGAAAGCTTCAGTTGTCGTATCAGTTTGAAGAACTAGGAAGTTTGTCTCATGACACATGACTTATCCCGGGCTTATCTTCATTTAAGCTCGGTGAAATCTACACGTGGGGCCGAGACCTGGTGAGGAAAACCAAAGAGAGGAACCAGAGCAGACTGGGATTAACTCCCGCTTCACTGAAGCTATCCTGTCCTCAGCTCTACAGGTAGGAAATGGTTACTGTGCTGCTTAGGGTCGCCCAGAATGTCTCTATAGAGGGTCTGTCTCTACTGCTTTTAATTCAGAGAAAATCTGGAATCTGTTCTCATGTTATGCAGATGTCTGTCACATCTACATTCCTTTAAATAAATCAGAATACCTTTCCTCTTCATGTTTTGCTAAAACTGAGGTCATATTATTACGTCCAAATGTCCCTTTTCACATCCACCATAGCAAACTTGGCTATGCCACTCCATACAAATCTTTTCTGTTAAACTAAACTTTATTTATATAGCACTTTAAAACAGCAAGGGTTCCACTACAGGACGACCAAACTGAGACGACATGATTGAAAAAAATCCATATTTAATAACAAATCACAATAGTCTACAAAAATATATTTAACTGATATCCAATAATCAGGCTCTACTGACTAGAACAGCCAAAGAGAAGAAGTCTGCAAACCAAACAGGCATGAAAATTGTGTTTTCATGCTTAGACACTTGAGGATTATTTATGCCTTTATTGTTGATTCCATTTTTGTCTTTTATAGATAGTCAGGTGTCTCTCACCTTTAGCTTGTCCAGAACACAGCGGCTCCTCCTTTATCTCATTCACTATGATGATCCTTCCTGGGTGGGCCTCTCCCCACTGGCTCCCTCCAGTGACTTTTCAGTTAGGCCACGTTTACTTTCAGGGTGAGCGGCACTTAAAGAGGGGACGTTTTTTTCCTTTTCCGGCCGATTTTCCAGTCATGTGAGAATTTTTCGATTGGGCCGTCTTTCAGCCTGAACATGCATCGTGTAGTGTACAGGGGGTAACAAGGGGCGATCAACCTCTCACAACCACCTCCCAATGAGGAACCATAAGGTCGGGAGAAAATCAAACATGTTTGAAATGAAGTATTCTTCTTCTTCTTCCTCTCAGAAGAAAACACAGAAGCATGGAGGGGATGTGAGTGAATAGAATTATTTCAGTCAAACTGACAGACCGTAGTAGCCACGTTTGCTCAGCCATGTCTTTGTCCAAATACGTTGACGCCTTTTCTCTGTAGGGCTTTTAGCACAAAATTGCACAAATTGCCAATTCAGCGAGTTTCACTCTAGTGAGCTTCATATTCCTCTTCTACTTGTTTGGCTTTTGGATAGACGAGTCCGAGTGGAGCTGAGACATTCATGGTTTTTAGACGTACAGTGTGAGCAGGTAGATCGCATCAGAGCGTCGGGTCGGACAGTGTGAGAACAAACATCGTGAGCTTTGAACTTTTAAACCCTGAGGTTTCGTCGTACAGTGTGAGCTGTAGCTGCGTGCAACGATTGAAAATATCGTACAGTGTATGCCCGGCTTTAGGGGGAAACAAAGAATCCCAATTAGAAAACATGGAGGCTTGGGTCTACCAAGAAGACCGATCATCAGGTGAACACTGGCAGTCCAACATCTCCAGCAGTCTGATCAGACCAGGAGGGAGCAGACAGTGGTTAGGCCGACCACTAGCAAAGATCCTCTGTTCTGAGAAAGGTCAAACACACCGATAAACCCAAGGACCATGATAAGAAACCTATTTCTCTTTATTTGTTTTATTTTTAGGGAGATTCCAGTCCTCCTCCCAGGTGACCCACAGCTGCTAAAATCCCCTTAAAAAGGAGCTGGTTCCCTTTGTTCTCTAAAAAAAGAGCTTAAGGAAAGGAGAAGGAATGCATGTCAGTTCATCACAGTTAATAGAAGGCATTCAGGAAGTCATGAGCTCAGAGCAGAGACAGGTTCTGGCAGATGGAGATAAAGAAAGCTATTAGCTTCACTGTCTCCAGGAGGTCAGGGACCTCAGCGAGGCCGACCAATGGGCTTCCTTCACTTTAAAACTGGTACAGTGGTGGGATCTGATGAAGGGCTGCTATAGCCCCCCTCCTGCCTGAACCAGAGGACGGTTAGAGTCAGACCTTTGGTATGCTGGGAGGAGTGTTCAGACATGGCTGCGCTGCAGGATTCATTAGAAAATGCAGAGCAGCAGAGCTGAGCCCAAATCAAAGAGTTCAGCACAAACCAGATGTTATATCGTTCAAACATTGACTTGTTAATAGACTGCTGAATGTTTGAATACCTTCATTTTCTTTCTGAACATCACCATCAATGTTTCAACTAAGTCAAATCATTATGATCCACTGCTTCTTAAAATTATTTAAATGTTGAATTCAATTCAGTTTATTTCTATAGCACCAATTCACAAAACCTCATCTCAAGGCACTTTACAATTCACCAGATCATTCAGTCAAATCGACTCCAAGTTTTCTATCTAAGGAAAACCAGTTGATTGCATCGACTCATTGACTCAAAGGCAGTCCCTCACACTAAGCATGCTTGTAGCGACAGTTGAGAGGAAAAACTCCCTTTTAACAGGAAGAAACCTCCAGCAGAGCCAGGTTCAGTGTGAGCGGCCATCTGCTGAGGCCGACTGGGGTTCAAGGAGAAAGAAGCAGACATAGAAAAAGAAGAAGAGATAAAAAAGCACCTCATCCATGAAACACACAGCCAGGCAGACGAGCTCCAACCAGCTCCCATGTCAGAGGAGGAAGAGAGCACATCCAGCCAGTCACAGTCAGAGACACAGGACTACACTGAAAAACAGGCTGATTTACAACATCTATAAAACAAAGGTGTTGATGGCAGCAGCATAGCTGATATTTCTCTCCAGGACGGAGTCTCAACCAAACAGGAACAGACCAGATGAAGCTACTATGAGAAAAAGCAGAGAGAGCAGAACATTGATTGAACTAACGAATTCTGTAGAGTGGGAGAATAGAGAATAGAGTTCTGTTTTAAAGCACTTCCATGTCCAGGTTACTGTAAACTTTAGGGAGAAATCTTCTCCTCCTGGTTTACCAAAGGAATCCTTGTTGAGATGTTTTGGTTAATATGTGTGACAATGACTAAATATTGTTTTAATCTGCAGAGGGCGCACCTGTCCATCAAAGACGGCAGTAAAATATTATTCTGATGTGTTTAAGTGCAGTCCGTTTTACAGGCTGTAACCAGGACGACAGACAGCTCTTCTAAATAATAGATTTGTGGTTAAGCAAACCTTTTCCTTACAGGCCTGGTGAAGAACACATGGATAAAGGTGGAAGAAGCAGGAGCTCCATGGCTGCCCTAGACCACAGGAACAAACCAGACCTCTGGCTTTAGCATCCAGGTAAAGATTGCTCTTTTTCTGTTTTCAAACAGCACTGACCCTCAGACATTTCGGTTTTTCTTGGAAAAAGCGGTTACAATCATCCATCTGATTGTAACCGCTT